TATATATATATATATATATATATATATTTATATTTAGATGAAATGAGTAATATAACATGTGAGAGACAATAACCCAGACAAATAATATAACTAGCAATTATGGGAGTCCAATTTGAAAAAACTCTAATGTTCTTCGTTCTTATTCTATCGTTTGTGATTATTATTATTATCTGGTTAACAGAATATATTTTTTATCTTATTCAAAAAAAATTGTTTTCGATTTTTTTTTTTTAAAATATTTTAATTCTTTAATTTTGATATTTAATTTAATAAATCAATAAGGTTTAGTCGAGTTGATTGAGCACGATGGATAAATATTATAATTTTTTTGCCCTTGTTCCAAGTTTGATTATCGTGTATAAAAAATTTGAATTAATATTATTTTTTTGAAAAAGTCATTTTTTTATTTTAAAACATAATTTTGAATAAAATTTTATTAATTCAAAACATGAGATTTGTTTTATTAGATTCACTTATACAAAAATCATGAAACTCAAAATATGTTTAATATACATAAAAGTACAATATAAAGAGAGAAAAAGATAAATATATTGTTCGATCAATATTAGACAATATAAATAAAATAAAAATTTATTATAATATCATTTTTAATATTACTTATCTTAATAGTGATAAACGATAGTGATAAATGATAACAATGACAAAATAATAATGATAATAATGATAATATTATTTAATAAATTTTTTATCTTATTTTTTTTTATTTAATTAATTTTTTTAATTTTTTTAATTATATTTATTGTATCTAATGTGATTTTTGAAAAATCAAATAAATCTTAGTCGATATGTGAACAAAAAAAATGTTATAAATGTTAAAAAATATATAAAAAGTGAGTTACACAAGTAATCAAATAATGATATGATATTATATATATATTTTTAACTTTTTGAGTACTTAGGACTTACTATTTTAAAATTGATTATTTATTTTAGAATAGAAGATAATCACTATTTTAAAATATTAATATTAATTTATACTTAAAAGTTAAAGGACAAAATAATATTTTAAATGAAAAGTAAGAAAATATTTATTTAATATGATAAATGACTAAAATTATATTATAATTTATTATTATTGTTATTAAATAATTAAATAGTCAAAAACTCATAATGGATTTGAGCTTGGTTTAGAGGAAGGCAAATCTTATAGAAAAAGTGAAAGAGAAATAAGTAAGGGAAAATGATAATAAAATTATTAAGTTGAAAAAGACATAAAAATTGAATCATGATATTTTAAGAAGTAGTTTAATTTAGAAATAATAAATAAAATTAATAGTATTTAATTTTATATTATTAAAATTAAAATTATTTTATTTATTATTAATATTATATTTTATTATTGTTTGGTGGGATTGGCAATTAGGGATTACCGTGAGTGACTGATAATCGATTATGTGGTGAGGAGAAAGCGTATCAAATCAGCTGTGGATTACCAATACTTTATAATTAATATATACCAAAACAAATATCCACTTATTTTAAAAATAAATTTATTTTATTCAATAATTTCATATTAAATTTTATTAATTTAATTATTAAATTAAAAATTTTAATATATAAATTAAGTCTGTAAATTTTTAAAAAAATTTAAAA